GTTGTCTACGCAGCATTGCACGAATCTGGTGGGGTAACCGGACTAGCAATGCTGAGGTTAAGCATAGAACTTTAGGCAGTCGCGGTCATCCAGTAGAGGAAGTGATCTACCTCTATAAATTACGCTTGTTGGGAGATGTGCTACGCATGTCACCAGATAGGTTGCTACGACGAACGATTTTTGCCAAGACTGGTAGCGATTGGAAATAAAAGAAAGGGCTGTCAAGCCAAGACCTGACATGAGGGTATGAAAACCGTAACCAGAAAACTGGGTCACATAAGTCCTGTTAGGCTCCCTGGCTGGGGACTGCGGGATGATGGCCACCAATGGTTAGCTATACTATTGATATGGCTGGGTGTCGCAAACAGTGGCGCTCGTGCATCCACTCGTTATTTTCCTAACACCACTCTATATGTTTTCCCCATCTTCCGCTTGAATTTGCTTCGACATTCCAACCTTCATTTCGCTCTTTTATCCAAATGGGCAACCAAAACTGGCGCACGAAAGTGCATGGTTAATGGTTGTAAAAACTGAAGCTGAAATCCTCACGCTAAACCTCATTTTGACCAACCTTGGCATTTTCCCACCCACTACCTGCCTCATCAAACATACGCCCTGACGACCCATTAGGTGACATGCGTAATACATACCTCAAACAAAGCAATCTATAGAGATGGACCATTTACTTCAATGGGCGCCCGTGGCTACTTAAAACTCTGCGCTTAACCTCAGCATTGCTAGTCCGGTTGCCCCATCAGATTCGTAGACAGCGGTTTTCCAACACCGGCAATCTATCTTTATCATGTTTTCTTAATGGTCAAGTTACTGCGCCCTATAACAAAACTTGCCAAACTGCCGCAGCATACACTCGACCCTTCACGGGCAGCCGGATGTCGCGGTGGCGCCACAGATGTTTCAATTTGGCAAATGCCAATCGAGCATTCTGTGTGCGAGCTGACACTTCACTCGTGATTCGTCCACCGGGTGAGATATAGCTTCCCAAATGAAAAAAACTTGACCACTTGGTTGATTACTTCCCCATTTCGATTGAGGCTGGTAACTGGACCAACCCAGTCTTGTAGCAACATTTTACACTTTGAAGGTGCATATTGCAAACCGAACATGGTTACACTAGCACTCAAACTGTCCAGAAAAGCTTGCAACCTACCTGGATCTTCACTTAACAGTAAAGTTACGGAATATGTCCATTAATTAAGAACATAATGAGGGCGAACGTATGTTTTCGGTGAATTCCTTTTCTAGCCTTTACAATCACATTTATATGAGAGACAATTTGAATACGGTCAAACAGAAAGGTGAATGAGTCATGTGTTTGGCAATGAGCCCAAGAGAACTACAAATGTGTGCACTGTTTGGATCACAACCAAAGTCGTTACGTCATGGCCGTATGGACAAGCGATCTTCTCTTCCCCTGGCCAGGGGAGTTTGAGAGCTTGAATCAATTAGCGTTGTGCGCACAGCTCAGGCTTCATGAGTCGGATGCTAATCGCCTCTGCGGTTGCTAACGTCCGAAACGGTATTGCTCTCAAGGGGTGCGGTGAGACTCGATAAATGATTGTAAATTCCGAGCGTATGTCAACCAAGTGTCCCGTCTCTCCCAGATGGACAACGATCGAGCTTGACACAACTCCACTCCCACTCTGTGTGAGCCAACGTGGATTTTGCTCTCTGATCTGTTGAGATAACTGCCTTGTCATTCGACCTACATAAGTCAAGCCCGATTGCACTTGAATTGATTTGACAATCATAGACGAGGTGAACATAGGCAGTTTTTCTTTGTTGTAGCATCGGATGTTTGGTGACGTAGAGAACACACAACTGAGCGGGATTGAATGTAGATTTCACTGCTGAGAATAAAACTTCAATGACTCTCTCGTTGGCGACATTGCTTTGAACGAAGTTCAGTTCAGTTCAGTTCAGCTTGTACAACCATTAACCATGCACTTTCCTGCTCCGGTTTTGGTTGCTCATTTGGATAAAATAGCAGAATGATGATTAGAATGTTGAGAGCAGATTTAAGCGGAAGGTAGCACATTTTCATAGACTGAAGTTACAAGAATAATGAATAGATGCATGAGCGACACCCAGCCATATCGCTGTGTCTCTAACCACCGGTGACCATGATCTCTGGGTCCAAAACCAGACAGGGAGCCTAACGGGACCTATGTGAGCCAGTCTCTTGGTCAGGGTTTGCATACCCTCACGCTAAGTCTTAGCTTGACCGCCCTTCATTTTTTCCAACCGCTACCTGCCTCGTAAAGCATCGCTCGCCGTGGCAACCTATCTGGTGACATGCGTAGCACA